TAGCTAAGACCAAGACCATAACCATTTGACTTTTTGTTTTTCAGCAAATTGAGGCGCGGTGATCCATTTACAAGCACAGACTTCCTGTGTTCTCCTGTCTACAAAAACAAAAGGAAGAATGTATCCAAAGGACATAAGTCCAAGTAGATCAGGTGGAAAGAAAAAATGCCTTCATTGAACCGTATGCTGTGATGTACATGTGTATTAAATCACTGCTTTTAAAACCGACAAGTAAATATTTCCTGTACTGAATAGCTGTCAAATCAAATAGACATCTATCCAGCAACGTTTTGTTGATCAAGTTGTCTTATTTACCTTTGCTTGCTTATGTGTAAACTCGTTAGACCACACAATTTTTTTTTTTAAATTGTATTTTAAAATGTAAATAAAACCACATCATTTTTACTCCTACACACCACAGTAATGTTATTTTATTACTTTTGGGGGCAAGGTTTGTAATTGCTGTGCAGCCCCTGTGTATTAGGGCTGTGCAAAGCTTTGGTCCCTGATTCGATTCGGCCCGATTCGTTGGCCGAATCTCTGAATCGAATCGGGAGACCCTTTAATCTCTCCAAATCAAATCGGAACCCTCTGAACTGATTCAGAAAGATTTGGTGAGTCGGATATAGACACAGCTTTAAATGTTTTTTCTGCATAACTCGTGGTACCAGGTGGCTCGTGAATGCTGCGGTGGATGGAGCGTTCTACAGGAGTGTGGGGGGCTCCCCAGCGCACTTGGCAGAAGCACTTCTGATCCGCTTCTGGGTCTGCAGGGGAGCATGCAGGGCCACCCTCCCTCCCCTGCACCTCCCTGGCTTGGTGACTGATGCCTCCTGGGTTTGGGGGGGGACACACCAGGGGTTCCCCCACAGCCGATCACTGAGCCAGGCAGGTGTGGGGGGCCCCCAGCATGCTCCCTGGTGGACCCAGAACCACTTCCAGGTTCACTGCCAAGCACACGGGGGGGGAGGGCCCTGTGCTCCTGTGGGATGCTCCATACAACCCAGCATTGCAGTGCTCATGAGCTGTGCCTGGTACCTCGAGGTATGTGGAAAAAACATTTAAACCTGCGTCTATGGCTGAATTGCTGATTCTCTGAATCAGTGTTGAATCTTCAGATTGGGCTGAATCGAATCAGGGACAGTGATCCGAATCAACAAATCTGTCCCCGATTCGGGCCAAATCTGAATTGAATAGGCCCATTTTGCACAGCCCTACTATGTATTAGCTTGACCTAACTGGTACACTAGGCATGCAGCTTGGCTCTGCCACCTGCACAAGAATCTGTGGTACAAGAAGCATCCCAGGGCACAGGAGAGGGACCAGGATGGGCTAAGGGTTGAGTGTTCTGCTTCAGCCATTACATGTCCCTTCAGAGGCTGATGGGGCACGTGCTATGGGTTTTATATAATTCTTCCACCAGTTTTGTCCTTGGGCTTCCCTAAAGCAAATGGTATAATTTTTGTGTAGTGTCTATGCTACAAGACTGCCATATTCCATGCTTGAATCTTCTAGTATGAACCACTCCTTTACTGCATTGAGTTAGGCTGGAACTCTTCCTGTTTTTAATAATGGAGTATTAACTTAAATAATGGAGTACAGCAAAAGCTGTGTTATCCGGCATCCAGAGGGTATGGGTAGTGCTGGTTAATCAAATATGCCGGTTATCTGAGAGGAGTCTGTTTGGGCTGCTGCCCCTCCCACCACATCTGGTGCCCCAGGCCTTTCACTCTCTGGGGTCAGCATGCTGGTGGACAGGAAGGGGAGTCCCACACAGGCTGCTTTGCCCCTGTGGGACTCGGTGAAACTGGAAGTGCCACGGTGGGACTTCCAGTTGCGCTTTTGCAACGTTAATCGGCATGCCGATTAATAAAGCATGCCAGTTAATACAGTGCCGGATGGCACAGCTTTTATTGTATTTTAATAACGGGTATACATTTTAAAGGGTACTTGTTAAAGTTAACACACTTAAACAGCTTCAGGCTGGATTGGCCATTTGTGAACCAAAAAGGTGACTCACTATTTTGTACTTAGTTCAACAGGGTAAATTGGACTTGGTTTTCATTCCTGTTGGCAGGATTGCTTATTGCATTGAAGTCAGCAATGTTGCACCCAGGGAAATGTGATGCAAGAGGTAGAAAATGAGCCCGGCCTCTTTTACTAGTACCAGCAAACTTCAAACTGTGTTAGTCTGATATTTCTAGACTATTCTGAATATTCTATAAATGAGGGTCATAGCCCTCCAATATGAGAAACATAAATAACATACCAGCAAAAGGTTCAAAGTGTCATTGCAATACATGTAACAGGACAGGGAGCATGGAATAAGGGGCATGTCAGAAAGTTACAAAACAGCCAATTTGTTTAACTGGAGATCAGCCATCTCCCAAATTGGGGTCATATGAATTCACAAAATTTTTGCCCAGATCTGAGCAAAATACAGAATGAGGTTGGGGGTGGGGGAATAAAATATTTGTCTAAAGTAAATGATTGACTACATGAGTCCTATAAATCAAACTTCTGGATACTGTCAGTCGGGCTGTGGTGAAACTGAGTGTGACCTTGGGGAGAGGGAATGAATTCAAACAGAACATGTTGTTTTATAGAAATATTGCCAGTCACTTACTTTTTTAATGCAATCCTTCAGAGCCAGTGGTAGTCTCTAGTGTCATTCTATTTGTTGTGCAAATAACCTTGCATGGTATTTTAGTTTAAATTTTCCATATCGTAAAGATCATACATACAAAAAGCAAGCAGAGCTGATTCTTTAATCTGTGGAGAGCTCAAGTCAGGGTCAAGAGTTTCGGCCTGAGTTCTTGTGGCCAATCGTTTAAGAGATGCTTCCTCTTAGAGTGCTGATGCTTGTTTAATGAGAACAATTGTATTAGATTCTCGGCTAGTAACTTCATTGATTTTTAACAGAGCTACCTCAGTTTGCACCAGAGGGGAATCTTATCCTTGGGCTCAAGTCCAGAAAGGAATTTGTTTTGTATTTGGAGGGGAGTTTTTAAAAATAATTAGTTCAAATCATAAGGGAGAATGACATGAGAGTAAAGTTAACTGTGGGCCTCCTGTTCACTTTGGTTGACTTTTGCCAGTCTTATATGAGCAGTATTGTAACTTTTCTCCATGCATTGAGCTCTAGTGCACTAAGTTGCACTAAGCTAGGGACACTTTATTGTAAAAGTGATCAGATTCTGCATTGTAGGACAATCCTGGAATTTTTAAAAGAATTTTGTTGCATCTCTCCCTATTATGCAGGGTGAGCAGTAGCCATTCTCTGCAATATACTCCTGTTTCTTCCTCTGTCATGTATGGCCAAGTATGTGTAACTTTGTGCTCTATTATCCTGAAGTTTTTTCCAGATTCATTACAGCTTGTAATCAGAAATGGAGAATAGAGTGATTATAGCACACGCCCTTGGAAACCTGTCATGGGTTTTGGGATGATTAAGTCTTGAATGATTTGCTCACAGCTTCCTTTAGATGGCCTTTTTTTCCCTTCAGTTTGTCCTCTGCAGTTTAGTCATGCTCTTTGTGTTCAGAAGTGACACTTACAAAAGGGCGCTTACAGATGTGGAAAAAAACCACAAAACAGCACTTTACTTTCAGCTCAGTATGCCTCTGCACCGAGCGCAGCACATGTCCAAAAGAGGAATAGTGTCAGTTTGACTTAGCGGATTGAATCAGTTATTGGATACAGCTGATTCAATCTACTATTAGGTAAAAGCACCAAATCCCACTGAAGTGTGAGCTATGAAGACGCTGGGGAGCTGGATCAAACTGATATGTCCCCTCTTTTGGTAAAGCGCTGTTCTTTTCCCATGTCTGTCAGCACCCATACATGTGTGATCTCTTCTGGCCAAAGTGGTTTGATGCATATGAGCTGTGCATTGGCCTGGAGGTTGCATCCACTGAGATTTTAACTCACCTGTTCTTAGTGTTGGGTGCAGGCTAAACACCTTTTAGTACTGATACTACTCCACACTTTTCCTCAATTCCCCTTGAGTTCAGAAAGACTTAAATTCTCCCAATATTCCGTCAACTTACGGCACTAGAGAACCATCACACATGCACCCAAACATACCGAGGTTGGTGCAGGCCAGCATCAGGTAAATGTTGCTATTTTTCCAGTGTCTTCCCCTTATTCTGTGCAACCATAAAGGATAGCAAAGTTCTCCAACACTTGACCAGGAAAATTGCATTGAGCTACTTGATGTTATTGCAATGCACGGAATTGTGGAATACACCTCCAGAAGACCTAGCCATTCACGCAGGTGAGTGTAGTATTGACTGGGCATTAGTAATTCAAGTATAGCTTTGCATACTGGGTACTAGTCCTAGTATCTAAACTTGCAGTGAAAACAGCCTCAGTGGTGAAGGTGGCCCCTGTGGTTTTGGGTGATTCTGCTGGCTTTAGAGACATAATGCTCTGAGTCTTGCTTTGCTTTTCTACTCCAGGTGCATCAGTAAGTTGTGAGTTACCTGGGACTGTTTTCAGAAGAGCTGGGTGTCTACAGTTGTAACAGAGGTGGATAAAAGCAGCATATGCTTGGCACTTTTGTAGGTCCATCCTCTCATCGGGAGTGACAATAGCAGGGAGCTTCCTTTTTGAAGAAGCAGAGGGAATAGCCTCTTGATTTCCACAGTAGGAGGGGTCCTCCCCTTCTGTTGGAAGCTAAAGGAGTGGCTAGCCTGGTAGACTCTGCCCCACCCATGTGCTGGCATGAGTGGCAACAGAGCAGAGGCCCCTAATATCACAGCAGTGTATGTGGGTCTACTGCACAGGACCTGCTATATAATTCTAAGATTTTGCCCTAATCATGGCAAACTCCAGGGGGTAAAGGCATAATGAGTTTGAGCCTAAGCCTATAGGGCCTAAGTGCTAACATGCCTTGAATTCCAGAGCTTACCCGCCTTCCTTAACTGATTGGATTGTTGCAAGGTAAGTCTGCCAGGAATGTTATGTTTTTAATTTAGATAGTGTTTAACTTGACACTTCTATGACTTGAGATGGGATTTGAGCTGCTAACTCCTTACTTGGTCATAAGCTAAGCAGGAATCGGGGGGACTTAACTTTAAAATGGTTGTGTCTTAATTTTTCTGCATTTCTTAAATTGGCTGAATGTTCAATGCATTCAATCAGCAACTTCACAACTCAATAGTTAGTATTAACCTAAGCCTTAAGGAAATCTAGATGGTGTGCTGCACTCCTTTTGTAGGAAAAAAAAAGGCATTACAGAAAATAAGTAGCAGCCAGAATACTGTTTCATATTACTTCTTCTCCAGGTCAATGCTGCATGGATTGGTCTCCTGTAATTTTTCTTGCAATAAGAGATGACATTTTTTACAGTTACCATTAAACTAAAAAGGACAGTTTATAATAGGCAAAAACTGTTATTAATAAAACAACTTGTTTAAAATGGCTATGAAGTAGCCTTAATTCCAGCTCTTTCTTAATACTGAGGCAGACTTCAATAAGCAGAATGTACAGTGATGCTACTAACATTGATGATTCCTACCCTTCACGTTCACACACAAGAACAGACACAATGGGACATTAGTTCTGGTTGTATTTTAGTTTGTACTAAAAAGCCTTCCAAAATAAAAAACTCAACAACGGATGGATAGTGTTCCACAATAAATCATAATGCTGAATATCAGAGTCACAACGATAAAGGAGAATGAGTAGAAAATAAAATCGGGAACTGGGAGAAAGCAGCTTGAGTGAAACACACAGGAACTGCTAGAGGTAACAATTCTTGTACTTCACAGAGGAAAACGGGTACGAACCAAATACTGGGCCTGCATCTACATAGACTGCATTATGGCTTTATCAGACTTCTGTCTGATGCAGAACTGAGAAGACTGTATGTTCATTAAGTGCTCTCATCAAAGCTATAGCCCTGGTTTAAGGAACCCTTCATTACCAGGCTACTGTGCCTTGGCTGTCATTAACAAATACAATCAGACCAACAGGAAGGGGTTTACTCTATAGCTGCTACAATCCAGTGAGGTTGTTCAGCCAGTCAGTCAGTGGATGGTGCTGGAGCAGTGAGGACTTTTCCAGTTTTTATTGTCTGCTGTGCATTAACTTCTTATTTAACTAGTTGTTTAACACAACATGTTTTGGTCTGGAAGTGAGACAGATGAGAGAAGAGATAACAATGAAAGATAAATCATGAAAAAAGGGAACCTCTAGCCTGCTAGGAATGCTTTAGATGCCCTACTGCATTCATTTGGCTGGCCAAATAGAGCCACCCAGGCAGTCTAAAAGTTAAAAGGTACAATTTTAAGTTTCATTAAAAAAATTTCTAATATTGATTTCTTCTAGAAGTTTGAAATGTTACACAACACAGTGTAAGCCAGTTCCCAAAAGGGAACAAGCTTCGTTGTGGAGCTCTTCCCAAGGCAGGACCTTAGAGTTTCGCTGCAGAGGCTAGTTTCAGTTTCAAGTTTTCAGCGAGCTTGTCCATGAACTCAAATGTGCTCAGGTAGTCAGAACGTGTCACACTAGAAGTGGGGGGAGGAAAGAGAGAAATAAATAAATAAAGCACTTTAATGCAACCAGGCAGCAAATTGTGCAAACTTAGAGTTAGGCCACTTTCTGCAGCTGCTTTGAATACTGATTTACTTAGATCTGTTTAAATTTAATGAAGGCTGCTTATGAGGGCCACTTTCCAGTGGATCCAAGGGGGATCTGCTCTGATGATATAAGCTCTTGGTGCATTTGCAAACAGGAAACTGAAGCATGCATGTACCCATTAATGACCTGCTGTACAACCAGGCTTTGTTGTTTGACTTCAGATCCTTTTTCATTTAATAAATTGCTTTAATAAAAGAACTGAAACTGCCCACTGGTCTAACTGCACCTCTAATGTAAAGGTAATGTTTACTTCTGTACAAAGGCACTTCAAGAGGTTTTAAGCAGAGCCAGTAAAGTGTAGCCCTCTGCACAAAAAGTGGATTTCACTGCTAGTTGGTTGTGTCTGCATTCATGAGTATTTAAAATAAAATCCAAAGCAACCAACTAAAGTTTCTAGAGTCTAGAACAAGTCATTTTCCAAGAGGAAAAAAGATATGCAGCATATTATATTTCCCAGAGAAGGATCAGAGAACATTTCACATAAGATATGCAGGCAGAAATGCACTGAAAGCAGCGACCACTGGGTGGACGAAACAAGCAGAAAACTACATACTGTGCAGAGCATCAACAAAAAGGGGAAGGGCAATCCTGTGAAAAATGACCTGGACTTTTTAGATCCCTACAGCACAGAGGACATGGTCTAAAACTTTAAAATGTAAGTACTTTTATCTACTTTACCTCTAGACTCAAACTTGAAGGCCTGCATTGATTCAAACCAATAGTCCTGAACAGGCTATTCATTTAAATATTTAGACCAGGGGTTGACAGCCTATATGGCCTGTGGGCCAGAACTGGATCTGGCTTTGGTGGCTGGGCAAAGTGGTGGCTGTAGTGACTGGGGCCGCGTACTAGCCTGCCTCAGAACCTAGCTGGATCATTTTAGCCAGCCACCAGAAAGGCTGCTGACCTCTGCTTTAGACTGACTGGAATGGATGGAATGGAATTCTTTGCGCTCCTCCCAGCTTTCTACATTGATGCTGAATGACTTCGTATCATTTTTGCATACACTGTGGTACTGCCACACAGAGCCACCCTGCTTTCTACAACAGTCTTGAATCTCGCTGTATAAAACATTCTTGAGAAAAGTCTTCTCTCATTCTCCTGAGATGACTGATCCATCACAATTGCCTCTTCTTGATAGTAGTTTCTAAGTGTGTCAGTCCTGCGCGCTCCAATACTTCTGTTTAGTATTTTCTCATCCCACTTGATTTTCAGGATCTTATGCAATCAACTCATGTGGAGGCTTTTCAGCCTCTTGACATGCCTAGCATAATATAGTCCACATTTCTGAACCATAAAGCAG